TCTCAAAGAGTATGTCGCGGCGTTTAAACTTGCGCTAAATGGCAAGACTTTTTTACTTCATACTAATGTGTGCATGCACGTTAAAATTGCATTACGCTATGCATTTGTATTTGCACTGTTTTGCTTTTGAGTTTTTTATCTAATAGTTGGTGTGATTGGAAAAAAGGGGGGGGGAGTAGCAAATAAAAAAAACCCCACATTTCTTCGCTTTTGTATTTTAAGTGTATTCGATTCATAAAATACATTTGCACAAGGAAATGTGGCCTGCTTTCAAATAATCAGGTATATTCATTTGCTATGAGGATAATGAAAGGAGAATTTCGGAAATATTCTTTTATAAAAGGTAATCGAAGTAAGATTATTGAAGATATCAAAGTAAATATAACACCAAGTATTAGACTTTACTGGGTCAAAGCACACATTGGAATTGAAGGTAACGAGGAGGCGGATCAGCAAGCAGGGTAGGAACGATGCTCCCAGTGGAAAGAACATTCATTATTAGATACATCAAGCAAGCCACAATGAATAAATGGAAAATAGATTGGAGTGAATCAACAAAGGGCAGGCAGACATATAATTTCTTTAAAGATCCCACACTAACTCGCCTGCAGTCAAACTTCTATTTAAACCAATTCTTAACGGGCCACGGGGTTTTCGGAATATATCAGCAGAAATTCTTCAATAAACGTGCAAATTGTAAATTTTGTGGCAGAGTACAGGACATTGACCATCTTATAAAATTTTGTCCCAAATTCCAGACGATCCGTGGCAGAAAATGGGATCAATACACTCAACATCAACTTTATGCTGATATTGACTGCAGGGAGAAAATCATCGAAATTCTTAAATATACCCTGGATGATCTGCTTGCCCCTGCGAGTACACCTGACTAATTTTATCTGGTTTTATTTTTAAACTTTCGGCTTTTAGGTTTTCTGCATTTAAACTTCTGCTTTTAGTATTTTACTTCGGCACTTGCCGTTTCCATGACTTTATTCTCCCCTTGAACTGGCATCTTCATTATACATGGGACATTCGAAATGAAATCTTGCTCTTGGTCAAATTCAGCACCCTCTGTCTTTCCTGGTGTCATCTTAGAACATTTTTAATCTTAGAGGCACTTAGCCTTGAAAGAGAGACACTTGAACTTTTAGTCGACTATTTTATTTATTCCACTAGGCTTATTTTAGTCTTAATTATTTTTAATGTGATTTTTCATATTTTACCATTTGATGTTTTACCTGACCTTACTTTTATACGTTTTTATCTGTATTATTGACACTTTTATTGTCGGTTGATTTTATCCACTTTGATGTTTTAAGCACTTTTAATTTTTATTCTGTTTTATTTTTATTTTACTTTTTCGATTTTGGGATTTTTCCTATGTGTTTTAATCTTCTTAATTTTGTACTTTTACTTTTCTGTAGTTTGGTAGTGTTTAGTCACGTGCAAACGGGTGAAACCCTTATCCGCAAACTCCTTCGGGGGTAGGTCGCTTACTATTGGTCTTATAAAAGGTAAGTTGCAGTATTGAGATGAGGGACAATTTTACTTTGATTAAGCGTTTATATTTAATAATAAGACAAACCCACCTAGTTACCTCTTCAAGGCCCTCTAATGGTATGTTTTGAATATTAAGAATGTTGTTGTCCTAATATTTTCATATCACGCTTACAGGAAATTGAATTTCTTCGATATTGGGTAAAAAAAGCAGTGCAGAAATTAATGGAAGAAAAGTCGACAGACGTGAAAAAAATAACTTTTTATTGATAATTGTTTTTAAAAATATATTTTACAGGTAGGGAAGAAAACTATCTAGCATTCGCTTTTGACAGACAGAGAAGAAAACTCCCTAAAAGTCAGATAGTTTTAAAAAGTTAAATTGTCGAATGGCAGTTTTATATTTGCGAAGTTTTTTAACATTGGTGGCAACGTTACCGGATAGAACCTTCAAACATATTTCAGATAAACAGTTGATTTGAGATTTATCGGCTTCATTCAATAACGCTTTTCTTTGTTTCGGTGTACATTCTATTAAATAGTTGAGAAAATGGAATGCTTTTTCAATGTTTCCATTGCTGCGGTTGAAATGTCCAGTAAATACCCCTGCTATCTGGAAACCAGCTATCTCGCAGTCTGTGTTGTTCCGAAGTCTGAGGATGTAAGTCCACAACTAAATAACCGTGAGGTTTACTAGTGGCTTTTATATACGCATCTACTAAAAGCGAGAGTTTCTGAGATACAGCAATCGCTCCAAACAGTTAATCTGGTTCACGTCTCGCGGGTTTTTAAACAGTATGAGATAATGCGAATTTAAACTATTGTCGCGCATCACCTTGGAGCGAGGAAACAAATTCTGTAGAATCAAAATAACGGAAAATCCAGAATGATGCGATTTGCCGACAAATAAATCTGCAATTGTTTCGTCCAAATGACGTGCTGCGGAAGTGACGTCATAATAGAACGTCAGGGGTGGCTTATTTCTGCCCGATTGCTGAGCTATAGTATGTTTTACGGAAGTGATGTCAAAGTCAACAGGTGCTTATTTCTGCCTGATTGTTGAACCGTAGTAGGGGGGTATTTTTCGGTTTCGTTTTTTTGCTTTTCATGATGGCAACACTTATTTCTACCCGCGTGTTGAACTATTTTTTAGTGTCGTTTTTAATATTTTTTCGTGATGGCAACAGTTAAGAGAGTTTCTTTTCAATTATAGGGGGTAGTTTTAATTTCGTTTTTGTTTTTCGTGGTGGCAACGATACCAATCCTGCACGACTAGGTTTCGTGTGGCGTCACAACTACTGTTGATAGATGGCAGTGAGCCATTCTGACAAGATATAGCAAGATAGGTCTTGGTCTGTGTCATATGTGTGCTGAATTCAGTTCCCTTCACTTATGCTGATGAGTTGTTAATCACGTGACTGTTTAATATTTTTCTCATTGGCTGTTAGAGTTTTTTTTGAGTTTGGCAACGATTAGAAAGGACTTTAAACTTCTCCCCACCGTTTTTCACAAGTTACTTTGCTCTGGTGTGTGTTGTTGCTTTCTGAAAGTTTATTTCTTAAGTTTGTTTTAGTTATGGAAGCCAATTCTTCATTAAAAAGAAAGCACATTGAAATTCAAGTAAGTACTTATTACTTCCTTTACTCACACAATTATTGATTCATAAAATTTTTTACCGATGGCCTCCTCTTGTTTTGCGATTCCTGAGATTAAGAAAGGTTTTTTTTCCCCACTTATTCAACACGGTAGAAAACCAAAACTATGCAGGGTCACTGCCGGACAGATCTTTTTTTTGCCCAGACACAATGTCTGTCAATAATCGAACTAAATTTTTAAAGTGGTATGATGAGCACAAGGAAAATGAATTTGATTTTCAAAAAAAATGAAGTAATATTGCAAGTAATTATTATCCTTTTTAATTTCTTAAAGTACATTAGTACAATTTGTATGTATTTTTCTCCTAGTTATATTAAAATTGCTTCGTCATGCATGGCTGTCTATAGAAGCAAACACATTGTGGAAGGGACTATTGCTATGGTTCCCGTGAATGGATATATCAATACAACCAATTTCAATGCAGACGCTGTTAAATGGTTGGATTTTGTAGCTCGTCAGGAACATATCCAAATTCAACATGCTCTGCTCTTATAGGATGTGGAGAAGTTAAAATCAATGTCAGTGTTGATGGGTTCTGTAGTGATACAAATACAATTTATCAATACCATGTAAGTTTTATTCTTATGTATATACATATATATTTTAATTTTTTGTCGAGCGTTTTACGTCATTATAATTTTTTCAATGCTAGGGATGCTTCTACCATGGGTGCCTAGAGTGCTACGAAGGAGNATATATATTTAATTTTTTGTCAAACGTTTTACGTTATTATAATTTTTCAATGCTAGGGATGTTTCTACCATGGGTGTCTAGAGTGCTATGAAGGAGATGCTGTGCACCCTTTAAAGAAAATAACGATGTCAGCCCTAAGAAAAAAAAACAAGATAGTTGACCGAAAAGTTGTGCTCCTCAGACTACAGAGTTATTGAGAATGAAGAAGGATTGTCCAGAGCTGAACGAATTCATTAAGAATCATGAAGTGCAAGATAGACTGAAACCCAGAGATTCCTTCTTTGGCGGTAGGACTAATGCCAAACGACTGTACTACGAAGGTGAAGCAAAATATGTCGATTTCAAATCGCTATACCCATGGGTAAGTAATTTTTTTTTCAGGGTGAAATTCCTGAACAAATGTTATTAATATGTTATAAGTATTACGTTATTTGCTTAAGATAATCGCCTCTTATTTTTCAGGTAAACAAATATTGTGACTACCCAGTTGGTCATCCGGAAATCATAACATCGGATTTTCAGGATGCAACTAATTAATTTGGGTTAATAAAATGTAAAGTCACCAAGAGGACTGCACTTACCTGTTCTGCCATACAGATCTAATCAGAAACTGATGTTCCCGCTATGTAGAAAGCATTAATTGGAACCTGGGTATCCGAGGAGATTAAACTTGCCATTAAGAAGGGATATAGAATCGTGAAGGTGGTTATTCAATTTTTTAATTCTGATTTTTTCAAATAATCATAAAAATATTATGTATGTATATTTATCTTTCTTATTTCTTGCTTATTTTTTTAGATATACGAAGTATATAACTTCAAGGAGAAATCCAACCGTCTCTTCCGTTCATATATCGATCTCTTCCTGAAGATCAAACAAGAGAGTAGTGGCTGGCCTAAAAATTGTTTGAGTCCAGAACATAAACAACAATACATTCAAGATGACTAAACAGAGAAGGAATAGATTTGGACCCAACAAGAATTGAAAAAAATCCTGGTCGACGGGGGCAGTGTCCAAAGCATATATTAACAATATTTAGAGAAGGTGGGTTTCTTTTTTTTTCTTTAAAAGAATGAGAATATATAGTTGAAAGAATGTTTTGAATTTTTTTTCTCTTGCGCTACAAAAAAAAAATTTTTTTTTTTAGATGGGGAATGATCCTCTGCAAACCCCATTTAACATACGTAAATGACCTACCGAAGTTTAATAAGATGCTGGCTGATTCTACGAAAAAGGTATCTTTTTTGTGTGTATTTACGTAAAATATATGTTTACAGTTAAAATACTCCTCAAATATAATTTAAATTTGATTTTGCTTTAATTATAGGTTAAAGATATGTATTTTCCAAGTTGCGAAGTTGCTGCAATACAGTGTGAAGCTGTGAAGGAATTTATCGACCAAGACACAACAACAAACGTATTTATAGCGTCTTTTACCACAGCATGGGCCAGATTAAAACTCTATGAAGAGATGGATAAACTTGGTGATTCCGTCCATGACACGGATTCCATTATTTATGCGAGCACAGGAGATAATGACCCATCTTTGGGAAACTTCTTGGGAAAATTTACAGATGAGCTTGACGGAGATGTGATTACATCATTTGTTTCCGGTAAATACATTTTTTTAATTTCATATTTTTCAGTTATTAATGTAATTACTTAGAAATTTAAAGAAGCATTGCTTGTTTTTCACAGGCCGAGCAAAAAACTACGCTTAAAGAACAGAGTCGGGCAAAACATACTGTAAAGTTAGAGGTTTCTCTTTGAATTTTAGAAACTCTTAAATCCTGAATTTCGATTCAGTTAAACATCTTGTGTGCTCTTTAGACAGAGAAACCACAATACCTCTCTGCAATCCTTTAAAAATTGTCCGCCAGCCAAAGAAGAGGAAGGATGTGAACATGACGGAAACAAAGAAGTATCGCATAGTTTACGACAAGAGGATTATTAACGAGGCCGATTATACAACTCTCCCTTATGGATTTCAAAGGATCAAAATGTCTAGTGAATGCGACCCACTCATAAATAGCGTGCCTAGTGGATGCGACCCACTTAAAATATCGTGCCTAGTGGATGCGACCCACTTAAAAAATCGTGCCTAGTGGATGGGACCCACTTAAAAAACCGTGGAGTGCCATAGAAGAAGGGTCCTCGTCCCGCACTCTGGAAGGTCTCCTTGAGAGGGACCTACGGATGTCTTCGTGTTTGTATTGTGTGTGAATAAAAAAAGGATTTAATGAAAGTTGAAAAAATACAAGTTTATATTTTAAAATAATTTATTAACAGACTAATGGTTTACAGAATATTTTAGCCATCTGTTTTTTCTAGCAAACAAGACTAGTGCTGCAGAAGGTGAGACAGGTAAAATTTTTTTATTAATGACAAGCCCCTGATAAACTAAAAATCGGGTACCTCTAGGAACCAGGGTGCGGTATACAAGTAGCAGCATTTAATTTTTCTTGGTGATTTTACGTACGCATCGTTTTATATCATTTGGCGAACCAGTCACGTCTTTGCCGCCTGGCTAGGTCCGACTATCATGCACGAGCTTGGAAATTCAAGTCTTAACATTTCAAACACAGGCGTCGAAATTCTAATTCATTCAACTGAACGCCGATGATTTACGGTTCGTCTCGCCAGAAATATCGAATCTCAAAAAGTGTCCCGTTAGAGCGGATGTGAAAAAACAACCTTCTTCCGATGTTTGCGGAAAAGGTGTAACTCGAATTATTCAAATTTATTATTTCTCCGTCCTAATTAAAACTCTTCAATTACATCAACGGTTCCAGGATGCAAACAAAACTCAACAAAATAATGACAGAGATGCGTTTGTGCGGAACATTTTTCAAGAAATCCATCTCAGTAACACACCCATTTAGATATAATGATAATAATCCTCCTGATGTATTTTATATTCCGTCGCGCCTTGGGGGGTTTCGCGCCAACTGTATGCCAAAGCAGCAAAGAATAAATATAGTATTATCATTTTCGTGTGTTGACAAATCTAGAATAATAAATATTCATATATCCGTTAAAAGCATCTGTTCATTTTATTCTCTGCAAAGTGTGGAAAGGAAATGACCGACGAATGCATGCGATTATAAGTAATATGAATATTACCGCAAAAAAGATTGTGCTTCATCTTTACATCATGAATCGAAGAGGTGTCCCGGCCAGAGACGTAAGTTTATTTGTTTATTTTTGCCCTTTCTCCCCCTCTCTTTTAAAATAATATACATATCTATGTTAAATATTTATTACATTTATTTCAACAGTTCCTAATCCGAGGAACATCGATTTAACAGGAGTGCATTTCTTTAACGCGATATACAACCCAGATGTAAACAACCTTACCGATGACGAGAAGTACATTATAAAATACGGAACATTTCCGCCTGGTACTCCGCTGTTTCCACCGCCTCCACAAGAATCATAAGGAGCACCTCCCCTCAACACCCTGAATCCGCTGAACACCCTTCTCGGAAAAAATGCACCGAATCTAGCACATCACTGTGATGTGCTAGATTACATATTTATTTCCCATCTTTTTAAATATCTTTCATTACTTAAGCTTATTTTTATTAATAGAATTACATTTAAAAATAAATCAAAGACTTAATCTTTTAAAAAACGAACATGAACATATAATATTTATCCTTCTCCTATAGATCAATGCCACGGATACTTTTTATTTCATTACTAATCGAAAACAAAAATCTATTTATAACTTTTTATTCTAAATTTCCAACGGCTAAATGTTTCGGTTGCATGGTTGTAATAATTCTCATAAATTTGTTGGCGACTCGTGATCGCCAAGGTGTTCTTTAAAATCCATGTTGATATGCTAGTTGGCTTTGTTTTGGCTATGGTATATTAGGAAAAATCGCCAAATTATGGATCTCCTACCTATACTTTCTATGTCCGTTGGGAATAATTATATTCACTTTTAATTTCTAATTTGTGGAGGCTGGGAGCCCTTTGGGGGCCTCCCCAGTCTCAATTTTCTAACCGTCAGAAATGATATTCCGGCTGTATAATCTCTCAATCGAGAGTATTCTGATTTCATCCCTTTAAGGGATTGCTTATTTTTTGGATGAAGAAATGGCCATTGTCTAAATCTCAAAATATGCTTAATAAAATCCAAATTTACATTCAACGATTTGTACATTATTTCCTGGAAACTCAATTGTTCAATTCATTCATTAATGGCCTAAATGAACATTCATGTACTACACTATACAACTATGGGCGGCTACTGACGGAGACACAAACCTTCCGTCATAAAATAGTGCCAAAGACAGGGAAACGATAATGATTATCATTTAAGAAAATTTGCCTGCATCCTATTTACATCCTGTTTGTGTCCTATTCTTCAAGATCCTGATGAAAATCTCCTAATGTCCAGCGCAGCCTACCAGTGCATTTTCCAGCCGTAGATGTTTTTTTAGAAGAAAAACGAGTCATCTGTGTTTCTCATAAACTGATTGAAATCAATTTCTACGGTGTTCCTTACCTCTTCAAAAGTGTGACTTCCTGTTCCATCAGTGTGTTTCTCAGGAAGGTGTTTCAAGAAAGTGTTTCTCAAGAAAAGCAAACGGAGATGAATGTCAAGTGTGTCACTTTTAACAGTGAATTTTTTTTCCTCTCTTTCACTTACAAGAGAATCAAAAATCAGAGAGAAATTTTTTTTACACAAACTACAGTGCCTTTTTTTTGTAGTAAAATTTTTTTAAATTAACACAATTATTAGATACTTGCATTATTAAGTGCTTTTCAATTTCTAATTGATTATTTTATCTATCCAGTACTTGATATTTTGAATGCATAACATTTTTTTAAAGCAATTATTTCTTATTCTCATTAAATATTATTGAAATTAATTTTCATTTAATATGAATATCTTATATTCTATTTATTTTAATGATTACAATTTATTATTACTGTTATATTTTCATTTTTAAAATTGATTATTTTTCTTAACTTGATATTTAAATGGTATAACTATTTTTCATATATATATATCAATATATAATTTTAAGTTATCTGATTATTAAATATGTCTAAACGTAAGAATAATATAAACTTTCATATTCAACCCTTTGCTGGTGATCCAACCACATTAAAGTTTTTCTTTCTTCAATTAGAAGATTATGTTAAGATTAATTCTTTAGATGAAGAACAAGCTATTGCAACTTTTAGATCTTTAATCTCAGGCAATGCTTTAAAATTTTATATTGAAGAACCTTCATTGGTTAAAATGAAAACACTAACTGAAATAAAACATAAATTTTTGGATTTTTTTAGACAAGATGATAATTCATCTATTTTTGCTTTGAATAATATTTTGTTGAAACCTCAGGAGACAATAAGATCCTTAGCTCATAGGATAAACATAACTTTCCATAAAGTGTATCCTAACTTAAATGATTCAGATGCAATTGATACTTTAAAGTACACGCATCTAATGGGAGCTCTTCCTCATGATATTAAGGTCACAATTTTGAAAGAAAATATTAAAAGTTATGAGAATGCTGTTGAAAGAGCACAACAACTTCAGAATATAGACTCTGCTATTAACAATCAATTTAAAGGTAATGATGAGATCTTAAATCTAAATTCGGAAATTTCAAATTTAAAAGAGCAGATAAACAATATTGTTTCAAATAATAAT